GGCACTTCCGGCGCCCGGACTTCCTCGCGAGAGGACCAGGTGGCGCGCCGGGCGGGGGCGCGCCGGGCGTTCCCGAGGCCGCACTCCCGCCCGCAGGTAAGGCGTGGTCCCACGTGTGTACGCGCGCCCGCCGGCCTCGTACGTTTTCCGGGAAGTTCGCTGCTAGGGGGTCACTGGGCGGGCATAGGTTTGGGGGCGAGGCCTCAGAGACTTCGAGTTAAAGGGACGCAAACACTAGGTTCTGATCGGCTGGAGCCTCCCTTGACAGCCTCTAAATGGGTAGTTAACAGTCCCAGTTGCTCAGTAGAAGCACCTGGAGAGATTTATTTTTTAAACCCCTCCCCTGCCCAGGCAGCACCCCAGATCAATTAAAAAAGAATTGATAAGGAATGCGAGCGAGTATTTATTAACTCTCTAGGCGAGTCCAGTTTGCAGCCAAGGTGGGAGGGCCCTGCCCCAAAAACTCTGAGTAGGCAAATACCTTGATTATCCCATTAAGCCTCAACAACTTATTGGTGGTAGTAGACCCACCGTAATAAATGAGGGCTGTGGGCTCATCCAGGATTTATCCTACAGCTGTCTGAGGATCTACCAGGAGAAAGAATCTGAAAGAATCTGGGCTACACAAATGCGCAGAGCATGAGCTCTGCCCTAAAAGGCTTATAGTTCAGCTTGGTCAACAATAAGATGCTGCTTTATGCAGGACAAATTTAAATGTTAGCATGTTCAAAAGTTGACATAAGTTATGACCCCGGTTAAGAGAATGTGACCATAGGGGCACCTGGGTGGCTCAGTTGGTTAAGTGACTGCCTTCGGCTCAGGTCATGATCCCGGAGTCCCGGGATCGAGTCCCGCATCGGGCTCCCTGCTCGGCAGGGAGTCTGCTTCTCCCTCTTACCCTCCCCCCTCTCATGTGCTTTCTCTCTCTCTCTCAAATAAATAAATAAAATCTTTAAAAAAAAAAAGAATGTGATCATATCATCCTGTGATTCTTGGACTTAAAATCTATGGTAGAAAACCATCTACCTTTCACTTATTCAAAGGAGAAAGTGGTAGAATCTTCAAGTTTAACAAGCCCCATCTTCTTGCCCTGTATCTGGATCTAGCCCCTGGGAAGTAGGTGTCAGAGGTAGATTCATTCATTCAGCAGCAAATACTCGAGGCACTATTTTGTGGCACTGTTCTTACCTGATGCCTACCCTGCTTCCCTCTCAAGAGATAGGCTTTTCCCCTTGCCTTTGCTGCAATTTAGCATGACCCCCAAATTCTTCCAGAGGCAACATTTTTCTTTTATTATTTTTTTGTATTATTGTTTCAGGGGTACAGGTCTGTGATTCATCAGTCTTACACAATTCACAGCACTCACCATAGCACATAACCTCCCCAATGTCCAGCACCCAGCCACCCCATCCCTCAACCCCCCTCCACTCTAGCAACCCTCAGTTTGTTTCCTGAGATTAAGAGTCTCTATGGTTTGTCTCCTTCTCTGGTTTCATCCCATTTCATTTTTCCCTCTCTAACCCCCATGAGCCTCTGCCTTGGTTCTCAAATTCCACATATCAGCGAGGTCATACGATAATTGTCTTTCTCTGACTTATTTCCCTTAGCATAATACCCTCTAGTTCCATCCACGTCATTGCAAATGGCAAGATTTCAATTTTTGATTGCTGCGTAATATTCTATTGTATATATATACCACATCTTCTTTATCCATTCATCTGTCGATGGACATCTAGGCTCTTTCCATAGTTTGGCTACTGTGGACATTGCTGCTATCAACATTGGGGAGCACATGCCCCTTCGGATCACTACCTTTGTCATCTTTGAGGTAAATACCCAATAGTGCAACTGCTGGGTCATAGGGTAGCTCCATTTTCAACTTTCTGAGGAACCTCCATACTGTTTTCCAGAGTGGCTGCACCAGCTTGCATCCCCACCAACAGAATAAGAGGGTTCCCCTTTCTCCACATCCTCGCCATCATCTGTCATTTCCTGACTTGTTAATTTAAGCCATTCTGACTGGTGTGAGGTGGTAGCTCATTGAGATTTTGTATTTCCCTGATGCCAAGTGATGTTGAGAACTTTTTCATGTGTCTGTTGGCCATTTGGATGTTTTCTTTGCAGAAATGTCTGTTCATGTCTTCTGCCCATCTCTTGTTTTTTGAGTGTTGAGTTTGACAAATTCTTTATAAGTCTTGGATACTAGCCCTTTATCTGATACGTCATTTGCAAATATCTTCTCCCATTCTGTCAGTTGTCTTCTAGTTTTGTTGACTGTTTCAGAGGCAACATTTCTAAGGTGAGAATGGACTTGCCTTTATTATTCATAAAATGCATTTTTAGGCATTATTTAATGTTCTGGGGTGGCAGTAATGGATAATCTGGATGCTGGGGTGGAGGGGGGATAGGGAGTAAGCAATATCCATCCACCTAACATTCTTACGGAAATCGAATGCCCATTTTCTTGAAACTTATCCTGATTATGAACCCTCATATAACACGAGAAGGACTAATAGGGGTATACACTCAGTGCTACCAGACAGAGGAGAGTAGTGCATTCACAGAGGAGAACTTCCCAGAAGGTATTATAGCCCAGGAACCAGCGTAGCAGTGGAGTTCCAGATGTGGCCAGGAAACAGCAGATGATTTTATGTGGCCGTAGCACCTCATGTATACTGGTGGGACTGGGGGACACTGTAAATTATCCAAAGTAGCCATAGGACAAAGTATCCACTAACACAGTGTTTCCAGCCTTTTCTTTTCCCACTGACCCATAAAAGATATTTTGGGCTTTACTCCTCTTCTTTGCCTTCCCCGTTCTCTAAGGAAAACATTGCTTTGGCAAATTGGTTTACTTAGGCTTCTGTGGTACAGAATCAAGAGGAAAAGGGAAGAATACCCAGGTGCTTTTTAAGGAGGTAAGGGCAGGAGATAGAAATGGTATAGGATTGGCTTTTGAAGGGCCAGGCAGCTGTCAACAGATTTACTGGGGGGGGGGGTCGTATTGTTGGTTGCATCACACTGGTTCATTGGTTATTCAGGACCTGAACTCATGTGACAGGGGTGATGACTGCAGGTGTAAAGATGGGCAGGAAGACTAGTTAGGTGGGGATGGGGGAGGCACAATTCCAGATGTTTCTGAAGTAGAACACTAAGAACTGATTATTGATTAGACTGAGGGAATGAAAGCAAGGGAATAGTCAAGACTAAGTTTGGGATATTTGGGTATGCAGACTCAGGGAACAGAGAAATGGTTGTTGCTGGATCAGAGCAGAGGTAATGAGGAAGTATGAAGGGGAAGGGAGGGAAAGCAGACCAGAGGAAAGGAGTTGAGTGAGGACTATGTTCAGGTGGAGGTGTGGTGTGCAAATCTGTAATGACCAACAGGCACCTGGAATGGCAGGTTTGAAAGGGAAAAGTCAGGGCCTGAGCAAAGATGTGGGAGTCACTGTATACAAGAATGGGAGATGGAACTATGTGGGATATGACTAATCTAGGCCATGTGAGAGGCTGTTATTGTGAGAGGTCTATTTTGAAGTCATAAAATAGGTGAAACATACAAAATAAGAAATTGACCGAATTTGCTGGAAAGAGATAAATGTAGAAAATTGGTGTCAGAATCTCTTGCCCTACCATGGTTGCATTTATTAGGTAACAAAAAATCCCAACTTAAAGTGGCAGAAGTAATAACTAGAATGTATTGGCCCATGTAAATTACAAGTCCATAAGTAGGGCCAACTTCAGGTCAGGCTAGATCCAGCAACCTGGAGTCATCAGGGACCAAGCTCAGGGCGTACATCATCATAAGTCTGGGTCCCCACGTGGTCACTGGAAAGCTATCAACAACAACTGGATCTACATGCGTCTGCATTCAGAGAGAGAACAAACACCTCTTCACCAATCACAAGGCTGAAGTCCTGAGTTTTGCTGTAATTAGACCAACCCCTATCATGAGCCTACCTGAAATCAGTCACAGGTAAGGGGTATGGAACTATGCCCAATAAAAAGTCCTCCCCAAAAGCTGAAGAGGATATCAGTCATCTCTCTCCCAAACCCCACGGCAGGCACACGATGGAGAGGATGGGAAAGATCCTGCTGATGCAACCAATCAACACTGTTCAATAGGACAATCAATCACAATTACCTAAGTTTTAAGTACAAAAGGCATTTGGAAGACGGTCCATCCTGGCAGAGAGTCTAAATCCGGGGTGTTCTGTTTGTCTCTGCAAAAGAAATTCAGAGACCAACTGATGAAATTCCAATCTGAAGAAAGAGGTTCTAGTAAGAGCTGCAGACCCAGTATTCATATGTCTAGAAATTTATTCTAAGGAAACAAAAGATTTAGTCATAAGAATGTTTAGCATAGGTTGTTTACAAGAGTGAAAAAATACAAACAACTTAGATGTCCAACCATAAGAGATTGATTTAAGTCTGATTTCTCTGGTTTCTCCTACTCCTGGCCCCTACATTCACAGGTGAAGAAACTGGCCCATCTCCTCAGGCTCAGTTTCTTAGAGACCAGCAGCTAATAAACTTCTCATCTGCAGTAGTACGAAGCAACTAAATAGTGTGAGAATCTTGTGACTGTCCAGCTAATGGGATAAAACTCATCCCTCAGAGCTATGAGATCTGCTTGCTGTTGGGTGCTTCTTTCCCTCAGTCTTGCTAACATTTATACTAAATCGCCTGAAATCCAACTGTCAAGATCTTATCTGCACTTGATTGCAATGACCTTCTTGGCTGACCCTTGACTAATTTGACCCCTATCCTAATGTTCCAATTAAAATCACATCAAATTAAGTGAAATTGGATTTTCCTTTGCAGTCTGTGCAAGCTTTCCTTACCTAGGCAGCTCTAAGCATATTAGCTTCGTCCTCATGTGGCACAGTTAAGGTTTTGAGACCTCAAGCAGTATATGACATGGCATTTCTATTCACTCAGTCCCGATTTACGAGCAGCTACCACTTGGTGGGTGGGGAAATGTGTCAACCTGGCCACCCGCTTCCCGGGGTCATGGCGGAGGTGGGGGGGGATTGGTGAAGTCACGTGGGCAGCAGTTGGTTGTCTCGGACATCACTGTGTGCAACGCACAGCTCTAGGAGCTAGAGAACACACACCACGGTGCCTGCAGGCCCCTGCTACCAATGAGCTTCTAATCTGTACAGGGGAAACAAGCACAAAAAAAAGTCGATCTAATACAGAGCATACTTTAAGTACCTTAAAAGAAGGAGAAATGAAAAGACACACAAACACATTTTTATTTCACTGGCAAGAGATGTACTATTCCAGTGGAGACACCAACAAGGACATTGTGAAGGAGACAGCATCATACCAGGACCTTTTGTGGGCTGGGATTTTACTTTAAAAATTAGTCAAACTTCTCCTAGATGCCTAGTATTTTGTAGATAACTTTGAAGGGACCAGACATCAACCTAAGTGTTTTTCTTAAAATAACCCTGGAAGCTGAATTATTCTAAGCTTAAAGGCTGTCAATCTTGCTCACACAGCACATCCCAACCTTAAACACACATCTAAACCCTCAGTATCAAGACAGTCTTCCTACTGACTCTAAATATCTGCCAATATTGTTTAGGTCTGTTTTCCTTTTTTCAGTCCTTATAGGAAAAAAGACCAAGGGGAGCCTGGGTGGCTCAGTCGGTTGATCTTGATCCGGCTCTTGATCTCAGCTCAGTTCTTGATCTAGGGGTCATGAGTTCAAGCCCCACATACTTAACAAAAATAAATGAATAAAAATGAAAAATAAATACAAGAAAGAGAAAAGACCAAGTCCTCTCCATATCTTAGGCATGCCTACTGTTAAGAACTGACTTGTATCCTCTAAATCCAGACGCTGAGGCCCTAGCCCCCAGTACTTCAGAAAGGGACTGAATTTGGAGATGGGCCTTTAAAATGGAAATTAAGGTAAAATAAGGCCACTGAGTGGGCCCTAATCCAATCTGACTAGTATCCTTATAAGAAGAGGAAATTTGGACACAAGAGATACCGGGGAATCATACACACAGAAGAAACATCACGGGAGGAGTGAGAAGGTAAGCTAAAGAGAGAGGCAGGAGGGGCGCCTGGGTGGCTCAGTTGGTTAAGCGACTGCCTTCGGCTCAGGTCATGATCCTGGAGTCCCGCATCGGGCTCCCTGCTCGGCAGGGAGCCTGCTTCTGCCTCTGACCCTCCCCCCTCTCATGTGCTCTCTCTCTCTCATTCTCTCTGTCTCAAATAAATAAATAAAAAAAAATCTTTAAAAGAAAAAAAAAAAAGAGAGAGGCAGGAGAAGATCCAAACTTGCCAATACCTTGATCTTGGACTTCCAGCCTCCAGGACTGGGAGAAAATAAATTATTGTTATTTAAGCCACCAGTCTCTGATACTTTGTTATGGCAGCCCTAGCAAACTAATGCACCCACCATCTGGAAACTTCTAGAAAATTCCACGCTTTCATCAAATTTTTATTGAGCACCTATAATGCATGAGATATAAGATGGTATAAAATGGGTACTGACATTAAGAAACTGAAATCTTTGGGGGAAGTAGAATCTGTAAATCTAATTACAGAATAATACACGAAAAGTGCCTCAAATGTGGTTGCAGAACACCCAGGCTTCAGAGAGGAAGGTACCGGCTGGTAGCGGGGACTCAGGCAAGACTTCCCAAAGAGAGTGGGACTTGGGCCAGGGCCTGAAGGCTCCATAAGACTTTAATAGATGGCATATGGAGGAAACACTCCAAACAGAAAGAAGAGGGTGAGATGAAAACAGTGGGGCATACTGAAGAAATAAATCAGTCTAAATATCGAACTAAATGTAAGAAAAACCTGAAATCTGATCATTCAGGGCCTACAAAGTAACTATGGATTTCCTCAAATTTTGTAACCTAAGCAAGAAGGGTAATGAAATTTAGCTGTAATAATTTAAGAAAAACATCCTTTTAAAAAGCTTAGAAAGTTTTATGTGTCGAATTTAGGGATTTTCCTCTATTACTGTTTTGACTAGGTATCTTAATGTTCAGATATGCAGATTTCTAATTAGAACAAATGACCTCATCTCCCATCCCACTTTACCTCCCAGAGACATTTTTACATCCTATTAGTTTACTCCCTGAGAAAAGAAAATCCTTAAAATTAGTATTAATTGAACAAAGAACAGAATCACCAAACTTTTTTTTTTTTAAGATTTATTTATTGTCAGCAGGGGTGGGGGGTGGGTAGAAGAGGGAGAGAATCTCAAGCTGACTGCCCGCTGAATGCAGAGCCCAACACGGGGCTCAATCTCACAACCCTGACATCATGACCTGAGCCGAAATCAAGAGCTGGACGCTTAACCAACTGAGCCGCCCAGGGGGCCCCAGAATCACCAAATTTCTTATTTTTAACTTCCTAAGCAGTTAAAGTTTTAAAGTAAATAATTCCTGATTATAAGTAATACCCTATTTCAATTCTAAGGTGTACTCTTTTTTTCACATTTCAGTATTTCTGAAACAGGATACCCCTAAAATTTAATATACACAATTAATGAGATATGGGGTTTCTCCCCCTGAAAGGCTACAATCACATCAACAGTGCATTTCACAACTGATGGTACCTCAGAACTCAGGAAATGGGGCGATGATAACCCCTGGCCAGCAGGACCCAGTTCTTCAGGAATCATGGTCCCTCAAGTGTCTGAGTTTCAGGGGAGATTTCAAGAGATTTTACCATGGTTTTGGGGGACACCATGAAAGTCAGGTAAAGTCTAGGCCTGTGGCTGAATCGGGGGTGGGAGGGAACACTCACAATGATTCTGAAAAAGGTTCATGTCTCACCCAGTCACCTCTGAATCCACCCCTCTGATCACCATAGCAACCCACGTGGAAAAGGGGGCAAGGGAAGGGTTTTCTGATGCTTGTTAAATCCAGGGGGCTTAGCTCATCTTTTGATGTCGCCAGATATACGCCCCTATCCACTGATCAGGGCCACGCTTGTGCCTTCCACATCAAGCATCCAACAGTCCTAACTTTAAGACCAGATGGAATTTCCAGGCCAGATGGGCTGCAGCTCTTGTACCTTCACTCCCAGGGCTCTAGCTAAGCCCAAGCAAGCATGCCTCCAAACCTGCTCTAAAGCAGCTGTTTGGGAATAAGAGAAAAGTCATTATGCAAATGTAAGCAATTCAAAAGTATGCAATATGAAGGCGATCATGTCAGGTACCTAGCAGAGAAATGGGGAGACGAACTGTTTGTTCTCAGAGTTCAAGCCCAGTCCCTTCCCGGCTATGATCCTGGACCACCAGATGATTACCATGGAGGGCTCCAGCTATCTGCTGGTTAACATTTGTTAACATTTCTCACCAACACAACTGAGAGCCAGGCACATGTGCCTCATTTAACGTCACCACCACGAAAACAAGCCTGTGCTATAACTACTGTTATATAATAAAATAATTACATAATAATAACAAAGAAACAGGCTGCCAGTGAATGACCTGGTCAAGGACATAGAGTCAGGAAGGGTTCGTCCCAATAGGGATGAGAGGTTTTAATCCCCAAACTCTTCTGCCTTCTGCTATTACTTTTACAAAGAAATAACCTTAACTGCTTCGGTTAAAAGACACTGAGATGACAGAGCAAGTCATAATTCTAAATGTCTCATTCATCCTACAACATTTAAATGACTCTATTCCATCAAAGGACACTGTAAAGAAGTACTTGAGAAACAAATATTTAGTAATAAAATCATAATTATAATCTTCATATCTTTAGCTTTGTCAAAACTCTTCCCATCAGGGGCACCTGAGTGGCTCAGTCATTAAGCGTCTGCCTTTGGCTCAGGTCATGATCCCAGGGTCCTGGGATCGAGCCCCGCATCGCGCTCCCTGCTCCGCGGGAAGCCTGCTTCTCCCTCTCCCACTCCCCCTGCTTGTGTTCCTGCTCTCGCTATGTCTCTCTCTGTCAAAAAAATAAATAAAAAAAAAATCTTTAAAAAAAAAAAAAATTCTTCCCATCATCTTTGTCTAAAAATAATTGTTCAGGGGCGCCTGGGTGGCTCAGTTGGTTAAACGACTGCCTTTTGCTCGGGTCATGATCCTGGATTCCCGGGATCAAGTCCTGCATTGGGCTCCCTGCTTGGCACGGAGTCTGCTTCTCCCTTTGACCCTGCCCCCTCTTGTACTCTCTCTCTCTCACAAATAAATAAATTAAATTAAATATTTAAAAAAAAATAAAAATAATTGTTCATTGTACTTTTCTTTGCAAGTGGTGTTTAAGTCATCACACAATGTTTTGATATTTAACTTAAAACATTTCTGGACCTAATTTAACATACGTGTGTTCAATGTAAACAAGACCTCAAGTTTTCACTTTCATTTTTCTTCTGACATTTTCTGCAAAAGAACATGCATGCCCATTTTTCAAAAGAGGCCAAAATCATATGATTGGGTGAGATTTAAAGGGAGAAAAAAAGGCACACAGAGAGATCTGGTCAACCAGTTCAGGATGGAACACCTCCCCAGGTCCCCAGAGAGGCTGGAGAGGGGTCCATAAACCAGCAAATACCACCTGCCTATTATCTGCCTTAAGGTGCATACCTTTGAAAGCGACAGAATTTAAGTCCAGTGTGGCACTTGCAGAAAATGGCATCAAAGGTTGGACTATAAATCTTTCTTATTCTCAAGTCACTGGACATTTAAGAGCAAAGATATTGATGGGCTCTTTCTCTCCTGTTCTTCTTCCTTGTAACAGATGTATGATTCATGGATTGTCCTTTAGTGGTCCCCATTTTCATCTTACTACTTTTTCTTTGCTTCTGCTTTCTGACAGCTCTGAAAAACAAGGTGCTAAATTATTTTGTAGAATAAGCATAGTGAATTATGTAATTATGTTGGAATTTAATGAACCAGCTGACCAAATAAGAAAACAGAAGGGAAAGAATTTACTGTATCATAAGCATAAATCCTCAGGATCCTAACCATAATAACAAGGAGACAGTGAGAGGCCTGACGAAGCAAAATGCTTGAGTAAAGAAATTTCTTTGAAAGACAGTTACCACAGATTTATTTGGGACAAACCCACCACAGAGGTAAAGAGTCAAGCCAGGAAAAACCACTGCTGTGCTGAACAGTATGGCAGCCTCTAGCCCAGTCCCTGTGGCAAGAGAGCACCTGGGATGTGGTGAGAGCGAGTTAGAAGTGCTCTGAACGTAAAATGCACACCAGATGTTGAAGAAAGAATGCAAAGTATCTTGTCAATAATTTGTATGTTGATTGTGTGTTCGAATAACATTTGGGATATGTATTATTTAAATTTTAAAAACAGGAAAGCCAATGAGTTAGGAGGTTTCCTTGCTATTGTTTTGGTTTCAGTACATCTGTACTGCTCAGCTCAGCACTTCAGTCTCCAAATCCGTGAATGACGTTTTTCAGGAAAAGGACCGATACATCTGCCGGTTAGCAGAGGCAGAGAAATGAAATAGCACAATGGAAAAATGGACAACACTTACAAAGGCCCATCTTATAAGCCCTACCACTAATTTCCCTTTCCTCAGTGGGTCTAAAAGTCTGGACAGGTGCCACACAGGATGTCCACGTTTTGTGGTCTTTGTCTTCCTGAAAGACTAGCTTCACAATGAACGAGTTGGAACTCACACTCTAAAGACACTAAACCACACCAGAACAAAACAGATCCTTAGCTTCTGGTGCTCTCTGAACTAGGTTACAGACGATCTATAGCTGAGAAAGATTACTGGTCTGTTCATTCACTTTCTCCAAGCTAGCAGTATCATGCAATTTATCATACGGCGAACCGAGGAGAGGGCTGGGGCTGCCAGCACCAGCAAACCTGGAAAATCCCCACGGGTAACTGGCGATATCACAGATTCACTTCTCCTAAACCACAAGTCCTGGGGAAAAGCTTACTCTTTATCTTTCCAGGACCCAAATCTGCGATTCACAAGCAGAATATAGTCCCTCGATGGAGCAAACTCTGGCCTCACTTTTGGTTCACACAACATACATAGTAAGTGTTGGAAATACAAAAATGAGTGGGCATCATCTTTGACTCCAAGGATCTGGGAGACTGAGACAAGGCAAATGTCACCTTTCATTTTCCTTCCTCCAACTCTTTTTCTGGGGAAGAAACTGAGGCTATGAAATCCTCCAATGAGGAAGTAGCAGAACCAGCTTGATTCTAGAACCTGTGCTCTTAATTACCTTGATACTATATACTCTGCTATAAGTTATTCAGATATGTAACATGCTAAGCATATTGTAATCACTAAACAAATATTAGCTATTATTAGGGGCATCACATGACTATTCTTCAGAATTTTGCTTGACAACTTTCCATTTTTTCATATTTAGGTTTTGGATTATAGACTATCAGTTCAAAAATAAAACAAATACCACAGCCATCTTTATACTCTTCTGGGTATGTTATATAAATCTCCTTTCCCTCCAGCCATTATTTTAAGAAGGCTAATGTCCTGATAAGTGATGATTTAGCAAATTTAATGAAGTAGAACCTCTTGATGGCACAATCAATGAAGCTGTGTGTGTATGTATACAAAATTTAAACACGTTTTCTTTGGCTTTTCCACTTATAAGAAGAACTAAACATGAACCAGATCTCACTAGTGGATATGTAAACAAAAGCAAAAGAAAATATTCATTTTAATATGAATAAACAAACTTTCCAGAGATGAAGTCTGTCAACGGAGTATAAATTGAACTGCCTGAGTATAAATCAATTCATTGTTTTGTTTTGCCTTAAAATTGAACTGACCTAGTGTTTGTCCTCTAAATTATAGTTATTCGTGTAATGATAAAAATGATTAACCACAAGAGGGAGCCAGCACCATTCCAGTTCAGGAGAAAAGGCAAATTAAACTTAAGAAAAACAAGTTAATATAAGACAGCTATGAGGTATCTTCTATGCCATATATGCTAAAAAGATGATTAGAATTATTTTTTACTATTGTAAAGAAAAAAAAAAAACATTTTGCCTTGTCAATTTCATTAGGAAAATTTTCTGAAAGCAAAACCTGAAGGTAACTGTTCACAGGAGTTTAGGAGTCTTTTCTGAGAGAAAAAAGTAACACTATTTAAGATTTTTCAGGTATACCGCATCCTAATGGATTTGCTCCTTGAATTAAACTTGATAAAATCTAATACTGAAAGATACTAAATGGTTTCCTTCAATGAAAACAACAGAATACCACCAAGCCAACTAGCCCAGGCCATGGAGGACCAACAAAGAGCCTACAATACATTACCAAAATACTAATTCAGTTTCCCTGTATCATAAGATCACAGACTGAAAGTCTGAGCATGTCACTAACTCTGTTTGCAACCAGAATTACCCTGTACCTGGTGCAACAATCCCAGACCAATAGCTTATTAGGTGGTCCTCTATTCTTAAAGGTTTCTAGGAAAAAATCTCTTATAGGATTCTTCAATACAGTTCTTAATTTAGAAACTTCCATTTCTACCCTGGATTACTTAGTGGAAATAATTGTCTAAAGTAAATTTGATGAAAAGTAATGGAAAAATAAAACAGTAGGTAGAATTCAAATGGCTGGGCCTTAATGGGAAAAACTAATTGCCACTGACCAAAAAAAAAATGAACAAATGGAAAAGAATTCTAATACGATCATAAATAGTTACAGTAACATCAGATATTTCTAATACTAAGAAATTATTTTTATCACAAGTTATAAGATAGCTCAAAAATTTTATGCTGATCCCAATTCTCACATAATGTTAAATTTGGCTATCTGGTTTTCATAACAATAAAACAAGAAGTCTCAACTATGATCCCTTTTAGTTTTTTTTTTTTAAGTGTAATTATTCAAATGAGCCCAGCTGAAATAGCAATGGTTTTTCTAAATATGCTGTTGTCATTGGTATAACTTTGTTCTGAGTGATAACCAACACCAAATATTGGTGGAAGAAGTGAAAATAAGCATAGAAAAAAATAGTAAAAATTAAAATTTTACATATTTAAATAGTCAATGTTTTTTAGAAGTCTGATATAATTTAAAGAGATAACTTCATTTTCCGATGTGTTCACTGTGGGATTACACACTACATTCCACCTGAAATGCCTTCTCCAGCCTTGCCTGCTGTCACATGTCTGCATCTGATCTGTCCCGACTTAAATATCATGTCCATCAAGAGAGGCTGGACTCTCTCCCCACAAACTGTAATTTCACATGAACCACAGGGGGTAAAAAGTTAATCAGTTTCTACCTTATACTTTGGTGATTTTCATGTCTTACCTGTAAAATGTTAGCTCTTTCACTCATCTTCGTGCCCTCCCACCCCACCATCTATGCAAACAGTAAGTAACAGTAAAAACAGCAAATAATTCAGCACCTCTGAATCCTCTATTGTATACTCTTGTGGAGGACTGCTTTACACAAATCACACAAGGAAAATTTTTTTCTAGGCAATAAACGAATTCAACTTACTTGTTCACTTTCTTAGATGTAGCGATCTTAGGACAAGTACTGCGTTTGTGGTCTAATTCACCACAAATAAAGCAGCCATCTTTAGGGCCCCCGCAAGAATGATCTGGAAGAGCACAGTGACTACAAACGCTACAGTGGATCCAGGCTATAAAATAAAAATTAAGTTTTAGAAGAAGTTCATTTAATATAATTTTTCATTTGATCAACCTTTATGACAGGGAAGCATGAATAGGGTTTACTTCAAATATTGTGACCGGTCTGCATAGCTGGTTATAATTTGGCTAAAGCGCCAAGGTTAAGAGGTTGGAATCCCACATAAAGCAACTAACTTCTTTCTGATACATGGCAACCAATGCAGCCCTTCCTCCATGAGCCATGAGCAGAGAGCCCCACTGACACAATGGGGTCTGGCTGAGTGACACAAAGCCCTAATAAAATGAGCCAAACCAAATGCCACAGTGGAACAGGTTACAAAGTCATGTCTCCCTATGAAAGAGAGAGTGTGTATTTTGGCAACTGCCAAAATTAAAAAGCAAGTAAATCAATGCAGGTCTTTATATTAATTTTTTTTCCCTTATAAACACAAATAAAAATCCCATTTAGCTGAAGAAAAACTGTGAAATGTTTTCATAGGATCTCAAACACGGAGTCTAAATACTTACAAGGTTTTACACACTTTTTGCAGAGAAAGCAATGGTTCCATTTCCTGCCATCCTACAAAAATAATTTTTAAATTATATTTAATGTATCATTAAAAATCAAGTTCTACAATTAAAAATTAAAATGTCCTATTAAAATCTGTGTAAATTATTCATTCCTTATTTCTCACTTTCGTGGGCTTCACAATTAAATACTTTGATTTTAATCTATGCATTTCTCCACTCAACTCAAATGCCTCCTTGATGGGCCCCAATTTCCTTAACTGGAAAACTAGGGGATTTATCTACAAGATCTTGAAAGTCCACTCCAGTTCAAGCAACCCAATCGGCACAAAGAAGGACTCAATTTCAAGAGAATTAATGATTCATAACTTTTACGTGTCTATGCAGCATAATCCTTAATGAAATTCATATTTGAGAAATTTATATAATTTAAAAAGATACAGATTATAGGGTACTGTTTGGGTAATGTTAAATCTGTGAAACAAAACTACCTAGAAAAGTATATAAGACACTTACATGTCCAGTTTAATGAGTCTTATAAAGTACACACTGATGAATCCCAACAGGTCAAGAGCACACTGTCAGCCCCCTAGACACTCCTTCGGGTAGCCCTTCCCAATCCAGCATTCCTCTTCCCCACCGAGTAACACCTACTCTGGTTTCTGTGATGGTCACTTCCTTGCTTTTGTTTTTTTACCACTTACGTGGTAAATAATAAAGTTTTGTTTTCCTCATTTTGAGCTTTATAAAAATGACCTGGGCATAATTTTTTTTAAATAAAGAACACAGATAATATCTAAACTGATTGAAAATACATGTAATCAGATGTGCTACCACAGTTAAAAACAAGTATAACCAATAACAAAAGTGTAAAGTTATGCAAAATGTATCTTATGATAGTTATAAAAATACAGGCTTTCCTTTGGACAATCATTTGTGCGTATTAGCCAAACTAAACTTCACCTGTTCTTTCTGACTGGATTTAGTTAAAATAAATAGGCCACCTTACGGGTCCATCCCACCTCCTTAAAACAATAAGTAGGAGGTGTGTCCCTGTCCTTCCTGACCTGTAAAAACTGAAGAGTACTTATCTACTAGGGCTTTGTGCAGAGTGACTCAGTTAATCCATGTACAGCCCTTAGGGAAGGTCCTGGCACATAAAAAGTGCACAGTATATGTTCTTTATTATTTCATCAGAATGGGGACGGTATCTCGTAGTTCAGTTCCTTATTTGAAACATCTTAATTTTACCCTCAACAAAGGTTAGCACTCACCTCATGCCTTATTTGAAATATTCCTGATTTTAGCAGTCATACAGTCATACAGTACCTCACATAAAAGTGAATTTAGGGGCGCCTCGGTGGCTTAGTCGGTTAAGCATCTGCCTTCAGCTCAGGTCATGATCCCCGGGTCCTGGGACTGAGCCCTGCTTCGGGCTCCCTGCTTAGCGGGGAGTCTGCTTCTCCCTCTGCCCCTCCCCCCAGCTTGTGCGCATGCTCTCTCTCTCTCTCTCAAATAAAAAAATCTCTTAAAAAAATAACATTAAGCAAATGTAATGAAACGAGTAAGCTAAAATAAAATGAATATATATGAATAAAAATGCATTCTGTAGAAACTATACCTTGGAGGTACAAGAATTACAGTGCTCACAGTGTTGATTCTCTAGGGAAACATATCGTTGACACAGAGGGCAAAATCTAAGGAGGAAAGAAAGACTTAAATCAGCTGCATATTTTCAAGAAGATTCACAGAGCAGATAAATGGCACTTGTTATAAAAATGGAGTGTAATCCAAATTCAATTCAAAATTATAGACCAAATTTAAAGGTAGCAGAAGAACTACATGAGTCAATATTAAAAGCATTTTCATGTTGGATATATGGAACTTTATTCTCAGTGACTCGTATATCTCAAGTCCCCACTAGGATCTTACCTGTACCCTTCTTCACTAGGAAGGATTATTTTGTTGGGTGGAATATTGGTGAAAATACGCACAGGAGACTGTTTTCGACCTGTCTTCCCATGTTTATAAAGTGCATGATTATCATAATCTACCTAGAAAGTTTAAAAAATTGAAAAAGAAAACTTACTCAAAGGAGTCAACATCTATGAAGATTCTTTAACCAATAAAGAACAAGCTGATGCCAATAAAGGAATTAAACCAAAGTATTTAAGAAGAAATTCTTAAAAGCAAGAGTTTACTTATTAATCAACAGAGAGGCCTCTATGGCGGTGAAATTTCATTATAGAAAAGGTAAACTTTGTTATAAATTCATATTGCCTGGTCTTAAGAGAACAACTGTAATCTTTTATCCAAAACAACAGACTTTGCAAGAAGGCCTATTATGGAATTACAAGTTTGGCTTTTGGCGCTAAAGAATTCCACCCTTGAAGATGTGTGATGCTTCAGTGGGGGCTTTTCATTTTTGTGTGTGAGATGGGCTACTTGTCAGTTCGCAGGTCACCGAGTCTCAGTACAGCCTTACTCTGACGCCCCCCACCATTCACCATTTGACCCCTCACATCCTGGCCGAGCATAGGGTTGGGGACCAGAGAGGCTCTGCCACTCACCTGTTGCGCCGTGAGGCAAATTTACATAATTCTCACCTGGAAACAGAGGTTACTGAGCCCTGCCCCAGAGATCTGGGAAGGTTACATGAGACAGTGTGTGTACAACGCCCAGTTCGGGGCCTGGCATATGGTGGAGACAGAAAGATGCGGACGAAGAGAGAGATTCAGCAACAGTTGTGACTATTTCGGATATTAACCTCTCCTCAAGACCCCTACCTCAGCTTTCAGCCTTGGCAGATCATCCTGAAAGGAAGCTGGAGCTAACAGGCTCAATGTCTATTAGCTTCTTGCTCTCGTCTCCTTCTCCAACCTCTCTGCTATCCACACACGTTCTCACTTTGGTTTTAAGCCTGCTCTGAATCCACCTAGTCACTAAGTCCATCCTTCTTTAGATCACTAATTCTCCAAGTGCGGGGACTGGATCAGCAACACCAGCGTCGCCCCTGAGAGCTTGTTAGAAAAGCACATTATCGCCCCACCAAAGGACCTCATAAAACAGAAGCTCTCGGGGGTCAGGCCCCACAATCTGTATTCTTAACAAGCCCTCCTGGCACACTAAAGTTTGAGAACCATTGTTCTAGATAATCCACAAGAATATGGTGAGTTTTTTATGAAGTCAGTAAAGGCAGAACCCAACTTTCAAATACATTATAATGAACTATTTAGATTCTAAACAAGAATACACTTAAGAATTTTTCAAAAGAACTGGCTCACAAGCTAGCTCTAATAAGCAAACCACAAAAATGTAAGGACTTACTGACAATGGAAAGAGAGGGCTTTAATGAGAAATTCCTAAGCTCTCCGTACGGCCCTGCCCACGGCTACCACTTTAACAGGTGAACGAGTTCAGGCAGACTGATCAATAAGCTTTAGCAGTGGGGGGAAAAGTAAGTGCCATACAAGGAGACCCAGCTAGACAAGGGACAGTGTGGGTAAACCAAACCAAACCAAACCTGGGGGTTCTGGTTAACTGTCAGCATGGTGAGTCCACAGTCTGGCTAACTGTACTAAAGCTGTCACGGGCTCACGGCCGCCCTGTACGGAAGTGTAATACCATAACAAGCAAAGGATGAGGTCAGATCATATGTGAAGCCCTGCATTCAGTCACTGCATTTGAAGGGAGACCCTGATAAAACCAGTTCGTTTCTACCGAAAGTAATGGGAAGAGGATTTGTCATTTAACATTTTGGGGGTGTTTATTCAGAAAAGCGCAAACTAGGAGGATCTGATAGCTATTTTATAACTGAAGCGGTGTCGGTGGAATCAAAATGAGACTTAGCCTTTATTGCTTTGGAGAACAGAAGTAGGACCAATGGTTAGAAGTTAATAGGGAGCATATTTTATCTCAATATGAGAAAATTTTCTAACGATTAGAGCTATTAAATAAATTGAGTTGCCTTGTAAGGCTGCAGGACTTTGCTCGCTGAAAGCATTCAAGTGAGGCCGGGTGACGGCTTGTCATGAATTTAGCAGAGGATTATTACAGTGGGAAGTTAGCCTATGGTACACCCCTCATGGTTCTTTCCAACTTTAAAATTCTATGAATGTATGTCACCTGTTAGAGGCTAAGATACATAAGCAGATTTTACTTCAAAATCACCTTAAAATAGTACCATTAAGTAGTTTTTTCAAAATGATGTAAATTCATAATTTTTCCCTAATGCACTCCTCTATGTATTTTATAAATATATGACACTTTATTAAATTCAACAAAGATATTTTGAACATTTGTGTCATAAGAAAAAAAAAATTCTTCCCAAGAAAACCTTTCAAAGATCTTCAAATGTTGGAAAAGAGGGCCTTAGAAAGATTTCTAGTAAATGGAATATTCCATGCAATACAATAGATAGCAGATGGAAGAGAAGGAAAGAAAGAACAATCTCTTTATGGTTACCCAAGGAGTCGGAGAACGTATGTGTCAGGAAGGTGGTTGATTGCTTGATTTTGCATAACCTAATTGAGATTATTATTATTTTTAAATGCGGGTTTGTTGTGCTAATTAACTATAAACATATGGTATGTAAAACGCATGCTGCTAGGGTAAATTAATGTACCTCTAACATACATCCATATTTCATAGCTTCATCCACACAAATAAACGTCCTATGGAAGCGCTGTAAAGCAAACACAATTTTGCAAATTGCATATCACTAGTGGTGGAGCTGATACACCATTTTCCCATCATTATCTCTGACATTTCACTCACAATGATGAGAGGAATTTTCAAATAGAAAATTTCTCCCATGGAACTGATTAATGTGATGAAGTACTGTATAGAAATGAGGGAAAGCAAAGAATCTCTGCAATTCTTAACTTTTAATTTTAACTATACGCAAATTTCTTCTGTGACATGAGACTGAAACCAGTTATATGGAAACCAAGATATTCAAGTCAACAGACATTTATTTTGCACCTACTATGTTCTAGGCATCCGGTCGGGAAACAAAGATGAAGTAAGACAGAGTACTTGTATTTTCCTAACTCCCTCGGGATTGTGTTCTATTTAATTTCAGTGCATCAAAAGATTGCCATCAGCCAACTTCCACCAGAGTAAAAAGGTCTTTTAGTCATATTGCCCATATCCCTCTTACCTCTTATTTAAAATTATATCTATATGTATGTATATTATATATATATTATGGCCCTTGTCACTCCAAACCCATTAAATGTTTGTGTTTATTACACATCAAGTTTTAAGAATTTCAGCTGTCATCTTGTAACTTGCAATCACTTGTCAGAAATTCCTGTCAAAATATCTTCACTTCTGAACATGAAACTAATCTCAAAAAACAGTTTTCTACACAGGATGATTTTTTAAGGGACAGCTTTAAAAAAAAAAAAAACTCTACTTTTAACAATCCAGACAAATGCCCCAGATGAAGTAGGAACAAGACATCATAGCATGTTCCTGGTGGAAGGAAAGTGAGATCTAGTTCAGATATGGTAAATACAGGACCTGAATTCCACCATGCCCAAACCCGGCCCATGGCAGACATCACTAATCAATCATACACTACCCCCTCCACCACTGAGCCTGGTATTCTCCACAAATTCTCCAGAAAGTCACAACCAATTTATCAGGCTTAGCACTAAAGCACTAAAAGTGAAACTTTCTACCATCTCTTTCCTGATCCAATCATTTTATTTTATACGTAAGGAAACAGAGGCCAAGAAAGATAAACTGACTTCTCCCTCTTAAGATTAAAGAGCCTCTAAAAGGCAGTGTGCTAGGACTCACACTTTTGATTCTGGGTCAAAATTTCTTTTCCTTATCACATCCTTCCTTTCTAATCTGCCCTTAATAAAACTCTTGCTTTTCTAGGTCTTTGATGACTGTTTTATTCTGTACTCATCAAGTGCTTTATCACTGAACAGTCTACATAATTTATATTTTATGGAGATCTGCGGCATTTCTGCCTCCCTATTACCTGAAAAGTATCTCAAAAAAAAAGATTTAGTGATTTTGGGTTTTTTTTTTTTTTTTTTACTGCATTGTGGTTTGGGGGCTCATAATCACCTTAGGCAATGTGAGAAAGAAGGTCTAATCGAGGTGTATAGCAAAAGACCTGTGAAGGAGGACAAGAGACTTTCAAATTTTTCATTTGATGAAGGCAGCTAATATACAAGAAAAGAAATTACTACAAAATAAGGTTAAAATAACAAGAAAAGGAAAAAAGAAAAAGTTTCAGAAAGAATAGTAATAATAATAAATCCAGAGAAACTTTCAAGAAAGAAAGAAATTAAGAAAAGCACGAAAGACCGATCATCAAGGTGAGGTACAACAAATAAGACTTATGAACACAATAGAAGATATGGTAAAATCAGTTTCTCCAACTGAGCATGGAATGGGCAAGTAGTGTTCTTATCTTTAGTAGAAATCAGGAAAAACGAAGATTTGTTTTGTTTCACAGATTTTATTCTAGTTTTTCCTTTCAAAGTTTGGCTTTCTCTTTACTAAAAAGACTGCTTTTCACCTTGTCTGATACCCTGTCTGATAAGGCCTAGTTAGAAACTTTCTTCACCAATACACTGAAGTGTATAATTATTTTTAATAAGCTTGGACCTTGGAACTATTTCTCAAAACTGAGACTGCAGTATTTCCACAAGTTCCTTTCTAGTAACACAGACCGTCAAAACAAGCCATGGCTGGTTTCTCCACATGAACCTCTCTCGTCCACTCTACTCTGGATCTGCCTTCTTTGGCCTCCTTGCCATTTCAAACTCTTGCCCGCAGTGAAAACGCATTTCTAAATGTGCATGGAACAGTTTTCTGAGGGACCCTATGTTTCATATACTGTACAAAAAAAAGGAAAGCCCCAAAAAAGAGTTTTACCCGTACCCGGGGACTATCTGAATGGTCTCAACAGTGCTGAGAGCAATAACCTTTGGTCTACATTTGCTGTGTGTTCGGGACAAGGCTAAGCCTTTTCATGTATTGTCTCATATAACTCCTAAAACCTTATGAGGCAGGTATATTATTACTCTGCTCATTTAACAGGTCACATGAGCTGCAGGGAGTTAGATAAAATGTGTAGGCCTAACTAGTAAGTGGCAGAACCAGGATTAAAACCCAGTTCCTTTCCAACTCTGGAGTTCATGCTATTTTTCACTCAACATGTGTAAAGCACCTACTCTCTGCCAGACATTGTTCTAGATGATTATTCACTGTCGAAGGCAGCAGGTGCTCTTGCCAACTGAAAATAGTTTATTTAGTTAACGTCTTTAGGATATGTCTGCTATCTTTGCACTGCAAATGTCAATACTAGAAGTACCCCTCAGACAAGAAACAGAAAACTATGTGCTCTAAAAAGGAAAGTAAACCAGATTTGGGAAGAATTATGATGTGGACTTTGCCTAATGCAGAGCTCAAGAAGTTAAGGTTAAAATGGCTTGTGCTATAAACTTTGGAAAGGAACTGTTATATGGTTCAGTAGCCATAAAAATGTCCATTAAATTTGATAACATAATTTTTGGAATTCTATTTCAGTTTTGGAAATTCATTTTAAGGAAGTTATGTAAAATCTGGAAAACTTATGTGAATAAGAAATGTTTATGGCAGTGTTATAGTACCTTAAAGGCAGAAGCAACCTGTGTGTCTAAGAAAAACAATGCTAACAATTGATAATATAACCTGCTAATGAAATAATGTGAAGTGATTAAAAGCAGGTGCCTGGGAGGCTCAGTCGGTTAAGCATCTGCCTTCGGCTCAGGTCATAATCTCGGGGTCCTGAGATCGAACTTCCCAAGGCCCCCTGCTCAGTGGGAAGCCTGCTTCTCCCTATCACTTTGCCTGCCCCTCCCCCTGCTTTTGCTCTCTCTCTGTCAAATGAATAAATAAAATCTTAAAAAAAAATAAAGTGATTAAAAGCATAAAGACTATGGAGCTACGTGCCTGGGTGGCTCAGATGGTTAAGCGTCTGCCTTCGGCTCAGGTCATGATCCCAGGGTCCTGGGATCGAGTCCCGCATCGGGCTCCCTGCTAGG